CCATACCCCTGAGAAAAGTGGTCGACTTTACTCACACCAACCACCCATGAGAAACGGACGTATAGGTAAATCTCTCTCTCTCTCTCTCTCTCTCTCTCTCTCTCTCTCTCTCTCTCTCTCTCTCTCTCTCTCTCTCTCTCTCTCTCTCTCTCTCTCGTTGTGACCCAGTCATGTTCGCTCTCCACATCTCCACAAAGGCATGATTGTGCCGGAATATTTTTTTGGGACCTTCACAAACTAATAGGCTGGGAAAAACAAACGCAAAAAACGGCAAGAAAAGAAAACAGAAACATGACTGTGACTGACTGTTCTGTCAGGATGTGCATCACGATGCCCTGGTGGAAATGTATACAGAAAGCAGATCAGGAGCGCTGCGAGGGAGGTGGGACCTCTTCATTTGGCAGAACAAGGCTGACATTTTCTGAATCCAAGTCCTTGGGGAGGGGGAGGAAGCCTGCGCATTTCAGTCTGACACCGGGATTCAAGACCTCCCCCTCGACCCTCTAGAATGGCAGTGGAAATTCACAGGGCCCAGAGCTAACCCCACGACTGTGATTAGTCTTCAGAAGCTGGCGTTGAAGTCCACATACAAAATGCTTAGACCCAAATGCCACTTTAAGGATTAAATAATCGATTGGTGGACAAAACACCTCAATGTAGACCGCTCCCTTTTGACGCCGATACCCTGGTTCCAAGGCCAAGAAGAAAAACCTGCAAAGATCACCTCCCTACAGTTGCAGATAGCACACCGGTGTCTGCCAACAATGGACTGGCTGGTTGACTACACAAACCTCGAACCGAAAGGCCGAGCTCTTCCCTGGTGTGCAAGGTGCCTGCGGGCCTTTCCTCCACGAAGGAGTGCAGAAACCATTGAGCACATCTTTATGCAATGCCTGACAGCGCAACTAACATGGCAATGGCGGGACAAAATTTGGAGAAAAATGGTCCTTGGCACTCCATGGCCCTGGACCTGGAGGGCGATACTGCCAGGATATTGGCCCCAGGCCCAGGAGGCGTCCACGTTCACAGAAAATATGTTCAATCTGGGCCACAGAGCGGTGTTTTGGGGGCTTTGGTGGCAACACTGCCTTCTGGCCAAGGAGAATGTGCAGGTAGAAGGCCCTGAGGTAACAGAGCAGATCCAACAACAATTCCAGCTGGAACTAGTGAGAAAGTGGCAAATCTTGAAGCGCCAACTGGACCTCTTTCGGACTAACCAAGATATAAGGACGGCAATGTCCTCCTTCGGGGGAGACTGGCTGGGGGGAGACGGAGGCGGATGGGTGGCAAAGATTGAGTGGGGTGGTAATAGGGAGGACCAGAGGCACCTGGAGATGGTAGAATGTAGGGACTACCGCCTGATCTTCAACGACTGGACGACCATCGAACCTTCCTTTCCGCTCCGCCCCCCATCAGACTTCCCTGATGCCTTTCCCCCACACCCGCTCTCTCTGATTGAAGCCATAGATTGGAGGGCGGATAGACAGGCTGCATGGGTGTGCATGGGGGTATCTGGATTGCTTGTGTGTTGGAACTCAACCTCACCCTGCTTCGCTTTCCAAAATCCTGATGCCCTCCGAGAAAGCACATGTGACACCTCTGATCCTTTCACAACAACAGATGGCAAAGCACCCCAGGCCGTGTGCCACAAATAGTGACCCTTTGCTAAGTCAGAAGCATTCCACTCAGTCAACCCCCGGGGTCTTCCCCGGGCAATCAATGCTGGTGGAGTTCAGAACCTCACAAACCTTTTGCTCCAAGCTCTCTCAATAATTTTTATCCTAAAAATAAAAATAAAAAAATGTATGTAAGTTCAAAGTGAACACGTGGCACGATCACAGTTTGAAGTGATCCGCATCATCAGTCTGAAGGCACTGATCCATGTCTGATCTGCATCATCAGTCTGAAGGGACTGATCCGTGTCACCGTGTGTGATCCGCATCATACATTGACATGCCTGTCTCAAGGTTTGTGTATGCGTGTGTGACCCACTGGGGATAGCCCGTGCGCCGGGGCGTGGTACTAACCTGTACAGGTACAGGTTACTGAGGTTAGTACCAAGCCCTCGGGCCATTCCAGCACACGGGCTATGCCCAGCGGGTTACACACATACACAATCATCTAAACGGGGAAGCACAAGGGATGTTAGCAAGGATTTAGACACATACGCACAAAGAAATATCACGGGATTACACAGAAATCTGTGCATTGCCAAGTCAATTGAATAACTGCACTTAACTGCACTTAACTGCACTTTGACACTCTCAGCAGTTACTCACTTTGCCACTTTCTTTCTTTACTCACTAGTTCGGAGCAACCAGGCAGCTCGCTAGAGGGGGATGCCGTTGTCCTTTCCTCTAGCGGGTGGGGAGGGGAGCGGGTGGGGGGGGGGGCGGGGGGGGGGGGGGGAGGAGAGAAGACGTAGCCACCCCACTATCTCAGCAGATTGCTGTGTTTTGTATTGTTGTGTGGAGACCTCCAAGTGTCTATGTGTGCATGCTGGCTTACACCCCGTGTGCTTGCCTGTCGAACTGCTTGCACATGAGGGTGCACATGAGCCTGCAATCAGCAAGGTTGCGCATGAGGGTGCACTCTGCAACGTTGCATTTACGGCAGTAACTGCACTTTGATACTCTGACCAGTTACTGGAGTCACCCCAGTTTGCCACTTCCTTACTTAGCTTACTGCAGTAATTACCCGGATTCACTGAATTAAATCTATCACAACTATAAAACCCACTCTACTCACCCACTCGGCTAAGTTGGTCCATAGGACTTTCACCCGTTGCGTGTGTGTTGTCTATTGGCCTCTATAGACGAACCCCCACAGAAAAAAAGCAACTCCGCCAAACTGTTTCGTCAGATCAGGAGGTTGAATGCGAACGGTCCCAGACTGGCCTTTGTTGTCAGGTCTTTATGCCACCGGACTGTGGCATGAAAAGTTGTGTGGGACTGTAAACCTGTCAATGGAATGCACCTGCATATGTAACAATCAGAGTCGAAAGATTCACAGCACACACAGCATTGGGGGAATAAAATCACCAAATATTATTTGTTGAAAAAAAAGAAGAAAAAAAAAAAAGGATCACAGTCGTAAGATCCAGAACACAGTTGAATGCCAGAAGTGGTGGGGTGCGTATGAGACAATGGGTCCATTCTGTGTGTGTGTGTGTGCGTGTGTGTGTGTGTGTGTGTGTGTGTGTGTGTGTGTGTGTGTGTGTGTGTGTGTATCCAATCATATCCCGTGACGTGACACGTCGTGGAACCCATATCATTCATGGTACACTCGGCCCGACCGTAACCAAACTGACGTCATCACTGCCACATGCAGAACCATGGAGCTCCCTAAAACATACGTAGCATGTCGATCATAATTCCATGCCAATCATGCCAAGCCGATCCAGGGGGTTGTGAAATCCAAGCAATCTTCCGTTAAGAGTGAAGCGTCGACCATTAGCGGATGGTCCAAGCAACTCATATCAAGGGAAGACAAAAACTTTCCAATTTACCCGCACATCAAGACTTATAAAAGTGAGAGAAGAAACTGGGGAGGAAAGACCGTGAGAGAAGGTGGTGAAGACTCTGAAGAGCAAAGTTTAAGCATATTGGAGAAAAAATACACATGCTTCAAGTTACAATAGTCCAAAAAATGATTTCTCTATACATACTAAAGCAAACAAAGGGCCCGACGACATGCCCTGTTGCGGGCCCAGCGGAAATCGTTGGAGCCGGGCGGTACCGGTAGGAGGCGGGGACATGGCGGTGGTACCGCGGTCGGGAGGAGG